GAGAACTTACCTCCGAGAGTAATTTTCTGATGAGAGAGTCATTGCTCGTGGATTTCCAAACTTTTGGCCCGCAAGGTCACCCGATCTTACACCTCCGGATTATTGGTTTTGGAGAATAATCAAAGCTCGCGTATATCATGAAAATAAATCAAAGAATTTGGTGGAGTTGAGAGCGAGAATTGAAGTGGAGTGTGCACGAGTAACGCTTGAAGAAGTTAAGCATGCTGTGTCTGACACCTCATACCGACTTGTTATAGAAAAAAGGGAGGTTTTTCAAGAATCTATGTAAACCTTCATAATGCGCGTATGTCTACATAAAAAATAATAAAGCTTTAAATCAGTGTTAAAGTTTTAACAGTGATATTATTTTTTCCGTCTAATATGAGACATCCTGTATATAGCGATTAGATCTGAATGCACTCGAGCATTTGGAATGCTATGATATCCGCAACACATGGTCAAAAGACTAGAGAAAATGTGTTGAAAATCCTATTCTCTCAAAAATATTTCACACAACTAAGTGGACAAAAAGCCTCTTGGTAACAATAACTGCTATCCTTTTAAAGACATTTGACCGCAATTTATACTAGACCGGACAGGCATCCAGTTCGTTTTGTCAATTTCTTCGGTAATTAAGACGCCAACTGATTGGAAGGCCCCTGGTGCACACCCAACTCTGGAATCTCTACTGCCCCCGTCAAAGTTTGGATAATCTGACAATATCTCAGCCTTCATGCTTCTCTCGATTGATAAGGCAGCTCAGGGTATTATACCTGAGTTTCACGACCCAACGGATATATTTCCCATACTTATTGCTCAGACTACCAGTGTCAAATATTGATCTAAATTTTACCTCCGTTCATGCCTTGAATTTTATTCAAACGCCTACTGTTATCCGCTGCACTCGAAATCGACCAATCAGAGACCAGTTTGAGCTCGAAACAGACAAGGACAAAAAATCACCAATAGGAGAAGTCCATTTGTTTTCCGTGCTTCAGATGTCCAAATACGGTCATGTCGGATAGGTGATATTCGTTGAGCAAGGCAAAGAAATTCCCTTGACCCACAAAATTTTTTTTAAACTGGAGAATTTTGTGTTACATAGCTGGAAGCGTTTTGAGTTGGCGAACTTACCGCCTTTGTTAGTTGAAATTTTCATCCTTACTCAGCATAAAACTGATCGCAAGAATACGGTTTCAACTTGATTCGTTGCACACCTCCAGCTCTACCTTAGTCACTGATTATCTGGCGGGTATACGATGACTCCAGCTACCTCAGTTGCGTGTTTTTCTTTATCGAGTTTAGAGAGAGAGACTGGATTGGCGGAGGGGCTCATGGGAGACCTGGTAGAGTTGGGAGCTCGTTCGGGCAACGTGAACCTGAAGTA